CCCATTGGAGGAACAAAGCCAGCTCTAATATGTCAGTCAGCGCTGACACATCAAGAACTGTCGAATCAACACTACATTTGTTAGTTAGACACAGTATTCAAGAATAGAAATTGACTAGAACGCTCACCGATGAAACCATATGAGGAGATTGTCTAATTTCCTCACGGTAAATGGAGCTCCAATCTTTATTGGCCGCTCATCACTATCCCCTTCCCGGACTGACTCATCGCTGCCGCTAGCAGCGGCTGGCATTGTGAACATATCTCTTAGTACGATAGAATGAGGTTCAAGAAGGGACATATGGAGTTTATAAAGTGTATTATCAACCTAGAAGGATAGTGGTTAGCTGGATGGAATATATAACTATAAATGCATACCAGAAAAATGGTTGAGCCGTCACGCCAGTAGAATCTTTCATGGTGAGTTGGACCCAGGTGCATTGGTGGCGGAGTGAAAAATGCAATTGAAAGTCCGATGACTCAGAGCGTAACTATGTCCATTGAGCTGCCAGCGACATTCCCAGCTCTCCATGGCCCTGGGCCGCCAAACAATGATGTGGATCAGGCCTACAGACTTATCTCAGATGCTTATAATAGTTCTCTGCAGCTGCTTCGCCAGGATGACCTCGATCCGTTACGCGTCCACTTCCATCTTGATCGCCTCCAGAACCGAATAATCCCATTATACCGTGCCCTACCTGTGGAGACCCTCCCACAAGATTGGGTTAGAGGTGGTGCACATGCTTTGGGGAAGCTCTTGGTGACCCTGCATGCGACAATAGCAGATGCAGAAGATTGGTAAGGTCCTTTCAATCGAACGATGCTATCCTCTGACCTCGTTGTTTCTAGGGAAACCTTACATAGGTCCAAACCAACCTTGATCACTACAACACCTACACCAGTTGGACGACCAACAAAAGTAATTAACAGCAACTGGCTTCAACAAGCCGTCTTGGCCACTCAAAATCTCAGTCAAAAACAAGTTGCTTCGATCTTGGGAATACATAGAAATACGCTCCGTTACAAGCTTCGGAACATGGGTATACATAAGCGATTTTCAGACCTCAACGACAATGATCTGGATCGTATCCTCAAGCTGTACAAACATCTTCGACCCAATTCAGGGCTTCGGTACGCAACAGGCTTTCTGCGACGTCATAACTTCAAAGTTCAGCGGGATCGTGTGCGTGAGGCATTGAAGCGTATCGATGGTTTAGGTCGTGCACTCAGGCGTCGAGATGCCATATTACGCCGTAAATATGTCTCTCATTGTTCTGGTTCTGTTGTGCACATCGACGGCCACCACAAATTGATTCTGTGGGGAATTGTCATCCATGGGATGATTGATGGACACGACCACATTGTAAGTGCCCATATTTTATAGAAATAATGCTCTTATCACACTTATGCAGGTGACTGCTCTGCGAGCGAGCACAAACAACTGTGCCGCAACCGTCCTCGAGCTATTTTTGGACAGTATTCGCAAATTTGGCTGTCCCTCCCAGGTTCGTGGCGATCGAGGAGGCAAAAACCTCGATGTAGCCGTTTGGATGATCATGCATAGGGGGGCTGGACGGGGCTCCTTTTTATGGGGGTCATAAGTGCATTTATTTCATTGCCTTGCATTTGTTTAATAAGTCCTTCAGATCAACACACAATACTCGGATTGAGCGCCTGTGGGTCGAAGTTGCAAAGCAATTCGTTCGGCAATGGCGAGGATTCTTCACATGCTTAGAAAGAATGCATCGACTCAACCGCGCTAATCCCCACCACCTTTGGCTTTTACAACATCTATTCTTAGATCTCATCAACGGGGATTGTGATTCATTCGCACAGGACTGGAACTTGCATCCACTATCAGAGCACAGCAATCAGAGTCCCTTGGTACGTATCTTCACATTTGTATGCACTCGATGTATACTGAAGATATGCAGGATCTGCGATTCATTAATGAATCGCTTTATGGGGCAGCAGTCGAGGAGTTTGAAGATATTGATCCCAATATTCTGCAACAGTACTACAGCGTACTTGGTAACCCAACTCACCGAAGATCCCAACAGACCGGTGCTGGATATCCATCTGATGAAGAAGACTCGGGCTCAGATGCCGCTATTGGGTCTGACACTGGATCTGTGTCTGACATTGAAGATTCAGAAGAGAACATCATACAGCAAACTATCTCCTCCCACATTCACGCTAACGTCAATCATAAAGCGGTTAAATGCCCTCGAAGTCGCTGCCCCTTTGCCGATCCAGCACATGTTACGCTTTTGGATACGGTGCTACGTGACCTGCGAGCAAGCGGCCTGATCCCTGTCGGGTATGGCCTCAGGACATCGGAATGGGTTGGTGAGGAATACCCAGCATCGGAGTGGGTTAGGTTTGGGCGAAACAAGGGGGTAATGGTAGATTTACCATCAGCGATTTGGATGCCCCGAGCTATCGCTTGGGTTCATGGTCTATATGCCATGCAGACAGTTCTATACCATTTTTCTAACTAGTAGAGATCGAAAGATATGAATACATTGTTCAGTTTCACACCTTGAGCCTGCCGAGTCCCGCCCAAGCGGATGTGACTGTATAAAATTACAGTTCTGTGATAAAATTTTCTTAAATACCACTTTTCAGTCTACACATGCACCACCCCTCCCCCACACATCATACTCTCCTATGGCTCCTGTTTTATCCAGATGCTCACGGGTGGAGATCACTGATGAAGCCAAAATCAAATGTCGCTGCCTAATGTTCGTCCTCAAAGCAGCTCCGGATGAGGATGAAATAAACACATGCAATGAGTGTACTCACAGTATCTCGTGGCACATCAACATCGCGCCTCCTTCGTCGCCACCTCCTAGCGGATTAACAGCAGCTAAGATGGACGCTATTCTATCAACGTACCTTAACGGCACCCAGCCTTCAGGGAACAACAGTGCCAGTGGCAGCAGTAGTGGCAGTGGCAGCAGTAGCGGCAGTGGCAGTGCCGCTATTGGGAGCGTCATCAACAAGCGATTCCAAGCTAAAAGCTCGGAAGGAGAAGCTAGAAAGGAGGCCCTCTCTGGTTTGAAGAAAACAGTTCTGAATCTGCAGTCAGATGAGGATTTCAGTTCGAAAGTAAGCTCACATATATATCAGATTCCCTACGAATAACGCTATCAACTGCAGGGGAAAGCCACAGCGACGACTAAAGGGAAACGGAAGAAGCTTCTGGCAGTTGCCGGAGCTACCAGTACAGATGACAGGTTTACCAGCATCCGGATGATCATCTTCCTGCCTTACGGACTTAATGTAAGTTTCATTGCCTTCTCACTCACCTTTTTTCCTCACTTTCATTCCAGGAAGATGGTAGCTTGATAAGTACCGATGAGCCGACAGCACAACAGATTGATGAACTTGCAAAGCTCGGGTATGCTGCAATCGGAAGCCGTAACCAGTACAAGTTCGGTGATAGCTGGGATGTCGATCGGATTGATCAGTGGTTGCGTGAAACATTACCGCTTCCATTTGAACGACTGGATATTGCTGCTGCGGACCTACCTGACCACAAGCACCAGTGGCGACTCCTCAAGACTCGCCAGTCGCACCTAGAGCTCCACCGTGAGATGCCCGACGGATACGAAGTTAAAAGTGTGAAAGGGTGTAAGAGCAAAGGCTGGCAGGATACCAAACTGTTCTTTGGTAAGTCTAATATCCATTAAGCCAGTTTATTAAGATTATTAACTACAACTACTTAGTGACTCACATCCCCATTCCTGAAATTATCGAGGCAATGGAAGATATCGCTGTGCAAGCTCAAAAAGGAAAGGGCAAGGCTGTACGCAAACGGAGGGCAGGTAAGCTCACTTGCATGTCCACCTAAGCTGATTACTGACGATTCATTCTTAAGCCGATGCTGATAGCGATGACGATGTTTTTGTGGAGTCGAGCACTCGTTCAAAGAAGCAGAAAGTCACTCGAAAGAATCGTAAGTCATATGCACACTGGTTCTAACGTACGAAATCCAGCGAACTTACAAATCACAGGTTTGAGCAATTCTGATGATGACTATGTGATGCCTGGCCCCTCTGGAAAAGGTAAGAAAAGGACTCGACACAACCACGACGATGACGATACAGCCTCAATCGATACTGCTACTCTTGAGGAATCGTTCGACCGCTTTGAAGCTGTTTTTAAACCCACACCCAAGTCCGGAAAGATTCATGATTACGCCGCCCCTCCCGCCACTACTCCTTGCTTTTGGAACCTGAACCAGGGAGAAGATCAGTCAGATCTGCATTGACCGTCACCTTCAAGCACCAATAATTCAACCGTTCCGCTCATTAATGATATTCTTTTAATAGCTTCATACCCTCCTAGTCCGCTCTACCTCCTGATCACACTCCTTTTTTAATAGCTTCAATACCCTCCTTTGTCTGCTCTCCACATTATTATACTCTCTTTCCAACTAATAATAAATACATTTTAATTAAAAAAATATCCTCTCTTGATCAATAAGTGTTAGTAGCTTAGTCAACTAGGTGATGTGCGCGCGCGACACTGACAATTCCGCTTGCGCAGGTTATGTTTTTTATAATGTGCTAGGGTAAAACTACATATTTTAGCAGGTGCGCGCCTTATTATTCGCGCGCACCTCTGTTTTTTTGGGCGCGGCATGTACCTTGCGGCGCGCGATTTTCACTCTCCGGCGCGTGGGGTCAAGACTTTTTGTGCAAACCGACCGTCATAGCCTGGGAGCTGCGGGTGTCCTCAGCCATGGGGATTGCTCGCAAGCTGGGCTTAGAACGAACTACTTATATATAGGGCTTCGCCTCCAATTCCCGGATCACGTGACACATCTTTGTCCAACGTCCTGCCGTTATCTTAATTCAGTGACATTATATTATTTCTCCGAGTTTAGTGTACCTACCCTCCCGCGTCGGAGCTCCGACGGGGACAGGGACGGACAAGTAGACGCTCTCGAACAAAAGCATCATTTTTCATGAATGAAGAATGAGAAGCAAAAAGGGGCCTAACCCGGAATCGAACCGGGGACCTCACCCATTGGAGAAACCCTAAGGGTGAATCATACCTCTAGACCATCAGGCCACGGCGAACAATTGGTGATCACTATAAAATGTGGAATCTCGCATGCATGCCGAAAATGGTATACTCAAACCCCGCCTGTTGTGTCGGCTCAGCAAACTCCAGCCAACATGGTAAGACAACACTCAATGTATAGCACACCTATTTTCTCACATCCTTGAAAGTCCCATGGCATCAAGCGTGTCAGACAAAATCCTGACATCTCCGAAACTCGAAAGCAGAAGGAACTGGCCAAAATCAAGCAATATTGTCAGTTGTCTGACCAGGTCTTGGCACGCGTGAGCTCAAATTCTTTATGCATTCGCTTTCAACACACTTCCACCCCCAGAAAAGCGTGAAAGACTGCAGCCCTGAGGCACTTGATTTGACGAAACAACTCCTTGCTGTCAACCCAGAGTTTTACACTATTTGGAACTACAGGCGAAATATTCTAGTCAACGGAATATTTCCAAGCAGGTGAGGGAACGGGGAATTATTCTAGAATCCCTAATAATCGCCACATTGAGCAGATCTCCAAGCGAAATCAACGATTCGCTTTCTGCTGATCTCTTATTGACAACGACTGCCCTTCGCCAGTATCCCAAGGTTTATTGGATTTGGAACCATCGACGATGGTGTCTTGAGCACATCCCAGACGGTCCGGATCAAGATCTGGACGGATGGCGAAGAACCAACTGGACTAAAGAGCTATACGTCGTAGAAAAAATGCTCGACGCCGACGCACGAAATTGTAAGGCATACTTTTTTACATGATGTGCCGAGTCTTTAATCCATAATAGTTCATGCTTGGAACTACCGACGTTATGTCCTCGCATCGCTAGCAACTACACAGTCACCAGCTCTTGAGCTGGCCTACACAACACGCAAAATCGAATTGAATTTTTCCAACTTTAGCGCGTGGCACCAACGATCCAAAGTTTATACGGATCTGTGGGAACGCGACATGGAGGAAGATAAGAGAAGAAAATTCAAGGACCAAGGTAGTCTGCTACCCCCCGTCCAGAGCCCCCTTTACTAATTACGCTTAAAAACTAAGAATTTGAGCTCATTAAACAAGCAATGTACACTGATCCTGGGGATCAAAGTGTCTGGTTGTATCACCGGTGGCTTGTAGGGCCAGGTAAGATATCACATCACCCGTATCCCAATATTCAACTCGCAATCTCGAACTTTAGGCGACAATCAAGAGTTATTAGTGCGCGAGATCAACGTCATCGAGGAACTGCTTGAGATAGAGCCTGATAGCAAATGTGGGTTCAACATCTGGTACATATTATTTCATTGCTGATCATATTTGGGTCAGGGTGTCTTGATACCCTTGTGCATTATAAAAGTCTGTTATTGCAGCATGTCCACGCCGATAACCTGATCCTCGACTGTGTGGGTATGCTCACAAAGCTGGAAAGACTTGATCCCTTCAGAAGAGAGCGATATGCTGACCTAGGTAGGCGTCAAGACGGTCCATTGAATTTGATTATTGATTGGCTACTCAAAGTGAAGAGCATCAAGTAACTTGTTGGCGTTCTGCTGGGAGTCTTATAATATTTACCATCCTGTCTCTTCGCAGACATGATACCTAATGGCCTCATCTGTATACATCGCATACAAGATCTCATAATCCACTACGGCTGGTATATCGTACATATCTCATAACTGCAACTCTTCAGAATACTAACAATCGCCGTATCTGAGGCTGTAACGATTATGATTCGGTGTTTAGCACTTGCACTCGCCAGCCTTGCATGCGCAGCTGACAAGGGAATTCAGTATGAAGAGACGTGGAAACATGTTATGGTGAGCAGTACACACCTGGCGCCGCAGTTGCAGCTGGAACTGCCGCAGCTGAAATTCTTTGGAGTCTCGGTGGCCTGTTTACAACGAGCAACAATGAGGAGCTACACCAGGGGTCGTATATAAGACTCACAGCGATCATTATGGTGAACTTGGTGGGTTTGTTGTTGTTGGTGAGGGTTTCGAAATGCTGATGTCTACCGGGCAGGAGCTCTTTATAAATGGTAGCCTAGCGCCGATGTAACGCCGCATCACATGGCCATTATGGCCCACTCCACTGCGCATGGGCTGTGCGCTATCAATGAGGGATGCATGCCGTAATTAACTCTTTTAGAACTAGGACTCCACCATTTGGTTGCCAAGTTTCACCTGACCGGCCTAACCCTTTAACAGACCCACAGAAAATTACACCTGCAAAAGATTAGATTCGCGATTCAGGGGAAATTGCAATTCGAACACTTGGATCCTTATCATCCATGTGCATGATAGCTATACAGTAAGGATAACAAAGCCGACAGCGGCCTTTTTCCCGGGGGACATTGGCCATAAACGTGGGTGGGGGGGTCACACAGCATCGTGCCGAAGCCTCTGGCTAACAACTTCGTCGAAATGTACCCGTGATGTATAGCCTGTCGTGTACACAAAAAAGCACAGATCAGTGCTAGTGAGAACTTGGCCGGGAGGTGACAACTAGCGAGTACCAAATGGAGAGCGTGTGCCATGGCATATTGACATATGATCTCTTGGCTGGTCAGGCTCACTCGTCGGAGGGCGAGGCAGTACTGTAAAACTTCCCTATCCGTAAAGAAGCTGTTCGCTTCAGCAGATAGAAAATGGTCTAAGTTCCAGCAGTCCACCAAGGTTCGCGGCCAGACCGATATATAGGCACCGACCATATGAGCTTGTACTAGATCCGGCTCACCGCACAAAGTCTGGACGAGCGTCCCAGGATGCGATGAAACGTTGCATGATTATCCAGATACAACTGCTGTCATGTTGTGGTGACGAATGGATATGGACTCACTTCCTGATCAAGATGTTTTCCTCGACCTGTGTACTCACCGACGTCGCTGCACGTATGTCCGAGTATTGTAAATCTTGATACGAAAGAGCACCAAGAAGTAACGTACGCTCCCCAGGATAATCATACCTGGCTCAATAATGTGATCAATCTGCAATATTCAAATGAAGCTGGTTCAATACTTGCAACCAAGCAAGGTCTAGAGCAAGCTAACTATAGAGTCACAAAGGAGGTAAATCCTCCTCAGTATCTTTATACTACACGTTCGTGAGTGGACTCTCGCGCGTCACAGTATAGTAGACGCTCGCTGACAAAGCCAATCAGAATCCTTCCTATCACCATAGTAGACTGAGAGGAGGACCTACATGTTGCCTCGGAGAGCGACATGTTCACCGTTGTTGAATGCCTCCTCCCAGTATTCGCAGCACCGCAGTGTTGCTACGAAACTCGCAGTAAGTCCTGGTTCATATTACGTTACTGATATGTCCTGAGCATTCTACAAGCCTAAATGGACACCCCCGCAAACAGTATCTTCAGCGTCGTCAAGCGCGCCTTCCGTCCCAGCACCGAATCATGAGAAATGGGCTGTTCCGGCCAGAAAAAGACCGTCCATTCCAACACAATTTAACCTGAGCTCCAGCTCCAGCTCCCCTACTCGCCAGCCAACCCCTTCGTTTCCTAACATTCCAGCATCTCGGACTCCACCAGCCACGCCATCGGCATCATCACTGGGAAAGTGGGCTCGCCCGACACCCCTTCCTAACCCTATTCCGACGGATATAGCGAGTACTACGCGGTGGCCAGATCGCGGTCTTACTCGAAGACGAGCAGCCCCCGCTCGTCCGGATGACTTGCGAAGCGCGGAGAATATCACACCGAGACGGGAAGGATATGGAAGGTCACCTCTCACAAATTCAGACCGGGCCTCGCGTCAACAGCCTCCGCACAAGCCTGATCGCCCATCTATAACAAATGACGACGCCCGGCTTTCCTTACGACATGAAATCCCCAGACCAAAACTAGATGGTTCCATCATGGAGCGGGCTCCTGAAGAGTCGATTATGGAACAGGTGCATATTTTAGAAAACGATGAAGTATTAGACAGATCTAGAAACGGGGCCCGGGACAGCAAGAAACTCAAATATAAAACCCGCGGCTCATTACAAGAAGGTGGTGAGATAGAAGGACATTCTCGTGTCTCGGATATACGCCTTCCGAAGCAGAAGAAGGCTAAACAGCCCAAAATGGTTCATCTCACTCAAGACGTGTATATTCCCACCATCGTGTCCGTCAGCCAGCTATCGAGATTACTAGGCGTAAGACTAGGTCTTGTTACTTGATCTCGCCGATTTCGCAATAACACTGATCCTTACCGACATGTAGAGACACTCAAGCGAAGAATGGTACAAGCTGGCATGGGCGATGCCACTTCGTATGATCATGGTATTGATAACGCTTAAGACGGATAGCATTCTACTGACTTGGTACTCGTTGAACAGTCTTAACTTCCGAGTATGCATCCATGCTTGCACTCGAGTTCAACAAAAATCCCATTATAAATGACGAGGCCGCATTCGATATATTTCCGCCGTTTGTCCTTGTTTCTCGGTCCTTCGCGCTACTTTCTCATACATCTGTCCAGCACTGCACACCCTGATCCTTCAATATTGCCGCTCCGCCCTCCAATTGTCACGATTATGGGGCATGTCGACCATGGTAAGACAACCCTCTTAGACACTCTCCGCTCCGCATCGGTTGCCAAGGGTGAAGCGGGTGGCATTACACAACACATTGGTGCATTCTCAGTGCCTGTTCCCCACCCCTCAAATGCCTCCATACAATCCATCACCTTTCTCGATACTCCCGGTCATGCCGCGTTCTCAGCTATGCGAGCTCGTGGTGCCAGTGTCACGGATATCATAGTGCTTGTCGTTGCTGCCGACGATGGAGTGATGCCCCAGACCAAAGAAGTCATCGAGCTCATCAAGAAGGACGAGGGTAAAGTGAGCGTTGTAGTTGCAATCAACAAGATCGATAAGCCTGGTGTAGATTCAGTTGGTGTTTCATCTAGCATTGTTTTACGATCTTCTCACAGTCTTTGCAGGGGGCAATCCAAAATGCATTGTTGGCGGAAGGTCTACAGTTGGAAACATTTGGTGGTGATATACCGTCAGTGGAGGTTTCAGGGTTA